GTGTCCAGGTGGCCAAGAAGGCCAACAGTAGCTTGGCCTGTATCAGGAACAGCGTGGTGAGTAGGACTCGAGAGGTGATCGTCCCCCTGTACTCGGCACTGGTGAGGCCCCACCTTGAGGACTGTGTCCAGTTTTGGGCCCCTCACCACAAAAAAGACATGGAGGTGCTGGAGCGGGTCCAGAGAAGGGCAATGAAGCTGGTGAGGGGTCTGGAGCACAAGTCTTATGAGGAGAGGCTAAGGGAGCAGGGGTTGTTCAGCCTGGAGAAAAGGAGGCTGAGGGGAGACCTTATTGCTCTCTACAACTACCTGAACGGAGGTTGTAGAGAGGCGGGGGTCGGTCTCTTCTCCCAAGTCACAGGTGACAGGACTAGAGGAAAAGGTCTCAAGTTGCACCAGGGGAGGTTCAGGTTGGATATTAGGAAAAATTTTTACACTGGAAGCAATCCAAATTAAGCATTGGAATAGGCTGCCCAGTGAAGTGGTTGAGGCATGGTCCCTGAAGGTGTTCAAAAGACAGGTTGACATGGTACTGGGGGACATGGTTTAGTGAAGTCTTTTGAGGAAAGACTGAGGGAGCTAGGTTTGTTCAGTCTGTAAAAAGAAGGCTGAGGGAAGACCTTATCGCGCTCTACAACTCCCTAAAAGGAGGTTGAAGGGAGGTGGGGGATCGGTCTCTTCTTCCAAGTCACAGGCAATAGGACAAGAGGAAACGGCCTCAAGTTGCACCAGGGGAGGTTCATATTGGATATCCGGAAAAATTTTTACACTGAAAGGGTTATTAAGCATTGGAATGGGCTGCCCAGGGAAGTGGTTGAGGCATCGTCCCTGGAGGTATTTAAAGGACGGGTAGACATAGTGCTTAGTGACGCGGTTTAGTGATGGCGGGTTTTTTGGTGGGTGGGGTTTTTTTTATGAGAGTTAGGTTGATGGTTGGACTAGATGATCTTAAAGGTCCCTTCCAACCTAGACAATCCTATGATTCTGTACAGAATCAGCAGTAATTACAAATAAAGCTATGGCAGTTCTATTTGTGACTGCCATTCTCTTATTGCAGAGACATGCTGCATCCTGCAACAGAATACTAGAAATACCTGTCATTGCTAAAAGCTGCCAATAGGAATCTCAAATTTTAGCTAGACAGCATCCAAACCAATGCATTTACAGCATACCTCTTAGGACACACTGTTTTCTAAATTTGCAACTACCTTTCTCATTTCCATCTTTCTGTGCTTGTTGTTTGAGAAAATGGAACAAGAATTGCAGCATGTTGTATGGAAGGCAGCCTTTTGTGTAAAAAATATTGTGGTTTTTATCGTGTTCAAGATTTATTGCAGCATTGAAATTATTGCATACTACAGAAGTGCTTCCTGCCTCCTACCCCCAACATTTAAAAAAACCCTAAACTTCAATTTTTATGGCTCTTTTTCACGCAGTGGCTCTGTGCCTGCATTCCACCCTGGCTGGAATTTAAGACTCAACTGCGATTGAAGTGAGATGGTGACGGCCTAGCAAGCCAAAGACTGTGCCCAAGTGCTGTCTGACTTTTCAACTTTGTTAAAGAAGTAACTCTGAATTGAGCTGTTGTTCCTTCCTGGGTAAGGTTTCACCCCAATTCTCATGATTGAACATGAGAATGTCAGTCCGGAGACAACTTCTGAGCTGTAGGTGAGCAGGTTGAAAAAACATTTTATGTGCCTGTGGGAAAGTAAGAGAGTATCGGAAGGAGGGTTGTAAACATGCTCAACTGACTTGCACCCAGGGCGCTGAGAAACACATATATCACACTAATCAGTTTTCAGTCTTGTGCACTTGACCAGTGGAACACCTGTGTTTGGATACCGTAGGCCTGTGAGGGACTCGGAGCCACCCTGTCCAACATGCTGGAGATTCCTCCAGGCTTTAGGAAAGGTCAAAGTGCAATGGTAAACTATACCTGTGTGAATCCCCGATACACCAGCAAAATCCAACAGGTTCAGGCTGTCTCTCGTTAACAAGGACTCTCCCAAAACCACTCTCTAGCAAGGAAGAACTCCGCCGTGCCTACGTGCCTCTGCCTGGCTGCTGCTTCTAAGGTGTCCCGGTTTGTGAGGTATCGAGAATAAATTTACTCTTTGCACTTCATCCGTGGTTTTGTGGTTGGTCTTGGGTCCCGCTGGTGCCAGCTCTCACAGTGCCTTTACTGGTGCAGCAGTAGCAGTATTAAGGAACACGGAAGGGACCGCAGGTGAATGGGGAGGTGGCAGAGGGGTTGGCTCCTATTGAGTAGCACTAGCTGAGAGATAACGGCTCTGCGGGAGCAGCGTGGCGGCCCCCCCCGCCATTCGCGAGGGCCGGGGCCGGGCCGCCCGGGACTACAGCTCCCGGCGGGCCCTGCCGGCAGCCGCCGCGGCGCCTCGGTGACTCGCGGACCGGGGCGGGCGCAGGCGGGATGTGCGCACGGAGCGGCGGGAGCGGCGCTGGAGCGGTGAGGCTTGCGGCCGTACGCCCGTATGGAGCCAAGCGGCGCCGAGGCGGCCTCCACCCGCTTCCTTGGCCTCACTCAGCGGTACCGGAGCCGGGGCGGCGGGGACCGAGCTCGGGCGGGGCGCGGCGCAGGCCTGCGCTGTCGGTGGCGCAGAGGCGGTGTTGTGCTTCCACTGGCTGCGGGGTTAGAGCGGCGGCGCCGGAGGCTCCCCGGGGCGGCCGGGAGTCCCGGCGCCGCGGCCGCCTCCCTCGGGGGCCGCTGGGGCTGGCGCGGGCGGGGCCCCAGGTGGGCATCCGCGGGGCCGGTTCCGCAGCGCGCTCGGTGTCTGCGGGGCCGCCGGGACAGCGGCGGCGATCGCCCGCCTGCCGAGCGCGCGGGTGGCTGTGCCCGCCTCTGCGGCGGAGAGAGGTGCGCCGGCAGCGGCGAGCGGAGGTCCCGGCGGCCAGGAGAGTGGCGTCCCAAGTCACAGGTGACAGGACTAGAGGAAAAGGTCTCAAGTTGCACCAGGGGAGGTTCAGGTTGGATATTAGGAAAAATTTTTACACTGGAAGCAATCCAAATTAAGCATTGGAATAGGCTGCCCAGTGAAGTGGTTGAGGCATGGTCCCTGAAGGTGTTCAAAAGACAGGTTGACATGGTACTGGGGGACATGGTTTAGTGAAGTCTTTTGAGGAAAGACTGAGGGAGCTAGGTTTGTTCAGTCTGTAAAAAGAAGGCTGAGGGAAGACCTTATCGCGCTCTACAACTCCCTAAAAGGAGGTTGAAGGGAGGTGGGGGATCGGTCTCTTCTTCCAAGTCACAGGCAATAGGACAAGAGGAAACGGCCTCAAGTTGCACCAGGGGAGGTTCATATTGGATATCCGGAAAAATTTTTACACTGAAAGGGTTATTAAGCATTGGAATGGGCTGCCCAGGGAAGTGGTTGAGGCATGGTCCCTGGAGGTATTTAAAGGACGGGTAGACATAGTGCTTAGTGACGCGGTTTAGTGATGGCGGGTTTTTTGGTGGGTGGGGTTTTTTTTATGAGAGTTAGGTTGATGGTTGGACTAGATGATCTTAAAGGTCCCTTCCAACCTAGACAATCCTATGATTCTGTACAGAATCAGCAGTAATTACAAATAAAGCTATGGCAGTTCTATTTGTGACTGCCATTCTCTTATTGCAGAGACATGCTGCATCCTGCAACAGAATACTAGAAATACCTGTCATTGCTAAAAGCTGCCAATAGGAATCTCAAATTTTAGCTAGACAGCATCCAAACCAATGCATTTACAGCATACCTCTTAGGACACACTGTTTTCTAAATTTGCAACTACCTTTCTCATTTCCATCTTTCTGTGCTTGTTGTTTGAGAAAATGGAACAAGAATTGCAGCATGTTGTATGGAAGGCAGCCTTTTGTGTAAAAAATATTGTGGTTTTTATCGTGTTCAAGATTTATTGCAGCATTGAAATTATTGCATACTACAGAAGTGCTTCCTGCCTCCTACCCCCAACATTTAAAAAAACCCTAAACTTCAATTTTTATGGCTCTTTTTCACGCAGTGGCTCTGTGCCTGCATTCCACCCTGGCTGGAATTTAAGACTCAACTGCGATTGAAGTGAGATGGTGACGGCCTAGCAAGCCAAAGACTGTGCCCAAGTGCTGTCTGACTTTTCAACTTTGTTAAAGAAGTAACTCTGAATTGAGCTGTTGTTCCTTCCTGGGTAAGGTTTCACCCCAATTCTCATGATTGAACATGAGAATGTCAGTCCGGAGACAACTTCTGAGCTGTAGGTGAGCAGGTTGAAAAAACATTTTATGTGCCTGTGGGAAAGTAAGAGAGTATCGGAAGGAGGGTTGTAAACATGCTCAACTGACTTGCACCCAGGGCGCTGAGAAACACATATATCACACTAATCAGTTTTCAGTCTTGTGCACTTGACCAGTGGAACACCTGTGTTTGGATACCGTAGGCCTGTGAGGGACTCGGAGCCACCCTGTCCAACATGCTGGAGATTCCTCCAGGCTTTAGGAAAGGTCAAAGTGCAATGGTAAACTATACCTGTGTGAATCCCCGATACACCAGCAAAATCCAACAGGTTCAGGCTGTCTCTCGTTAACAAGGACTCTCCCAAAACCACTCTCTAGCAAGGAAGAACTCCGCCGTGCCTACGTGCCTCTGCCTGGCTGCTGCTTCTAAGGTGTCCCGGTTTGTGAGGTATCGAGAATAAATTTACTCTTTGCACTTCATCCGTGGTTTTGTGGTTGGTCTTGGGTCCCGCTGGTGCCAGCTCTCACAGTGCCTTTACTGGTGCAGCAGTAGCAGTATTAAGGAACACGGAAGGGACCGCAGGTGAATGGGGAGGTGGCAGAGGGGTTGGCTCCTATTGAGTAGCACTAGCTGAGAGATAACGGCTCTGCGGGAGCAGCGTGGCGGCCCCCCCCGCCATTCGCGAGGGCCGGGGCCGGGCCGCCCGGGACTACAGCTCCCGGCGGGCCCTGCCGGCAGCCGCCGCGGCGCCTCGGTGACTCGCGGACCGGGGCGGGCGCAGGCGGGATGTGCGCACGGAGCGGCGGGAGCGGCGCTGGAGCGGTGAGGCTTGCGGCCGTACGCCCGTATGGAGCCAAGCGGCGCCGAGGCGGCCTCCACCCGCTTCCTTGGCCTCACTCAGCGGTACCGGAGCCGGGGCGGCGGGGACCGAGCTCGGGCGGGGCGCGGCGCAGGCCTGCGCTGTCGGTGGCGCAGAGGCGGTGTTGTGCTTCCACTGGCTGCGGGGTTAGAGCGGCGGCGCCGGAGGCTCCCCGGGGCGGCCGGGAGTCCCGGCGCCGCGGCCGCCTCCCTCGGGGGCCGCTGGGGCTGGCGCGGGCGGGGCCCCAGGTGGGCATCCGCGGGGCCGGTTCCGCAGCGCGCTCGGTGTCTGCGGGGCCGCCGGGACAGCGGCGGCGATCGCCCGCCTGCCGAGCGCGCGGGTGGCTGTGCCCGCCTCTGCGGCGGAGAGAGGTGCGCCGGCAGCGGCGAGCGGAGGTCCCGGCGGCCAGGAGAGTGGCGAGCCCTGGGGGCAGGCGGGCTTTGTCGTTGTGGTCACGCCGGTGTCGTCGGCAAACTCGACCCCTTCTGCCACAGCCCCCCGCCCCCAAGCAGAGTGCTTTCCCGAAAGACAAAACTTGTGGTCCTAAAAATACATGCCTAACTTTAGATTAGAAAATATGTTTAAGCTTGCTTTTGTTGTTCGACTTCCAGGTCTGTTGAAGTTTGTAGGAGCTTCTGTTGAAATGGGAGGAGGCTGGTTCTCCCTCCTCTCCCCTGTCACTGTACATTCACACAGCAGCACCTGTGTTCCCAAACAAATGGGAGAGGGAGGTAGAATATACCCTGGGTGCTGTAGAATTGTGTATAAGATGGGTTTTTTTATGTGAATAAAGGCTTATCTGTATTAAAACACTTTACAGTCTAAGTACATTGTAAATTATTAAGCCAAACTGGTCTGAGCCACTGGTAAAATAACAGTGCTGGCAGTTCATCTTAGTAGGATGAAAACTATTTTAAAACTGTCATAACTGAAGCAACAGTGTTTTCTGATGTAGGTCAGGTCAGGACTGAGGAAGGATGTAATCCAATGAAGAAAATTAGTACAAAAAGCTGTATTAATCACAGCATATTTTTAAAATTAGATCATGTGATATCTCAGAGAATTGATGAGTACAGATCTCAGTGGTACCCTGAATGAAGAAGGCTAGAATTCATTGAGGAATATGTGCACTTGTGTAAATAGCATCATAATGTAAATCTTAGCAATGCATAAATTGAGGCTAAGATGGTTAACTTTCACAAGCTTGTCTGTGTGTTGGTGTGAGATTCTGCTTTAAGTGCTTGATACAAAGCAGATTACAAGTATGATATGAAGTAGAAGTGTTATATGAAGTAGTTAGGTTGAGAAGAAGCAGAGATTAACATTGGGTATCATTCTGATTTTTAAAAGGACTGGTAGTGCATGTGAAAGTTAGGTATGTTTTAGGTACTTTGAATTGGGATGCAAATGTCTAAGAATATTAACATTAAACCGCTATTTTTTAAATCAGCATTTTTCTCAGATATACTCATGGTTTTCAAATAGCAAGAGTGCTGTCAGAAAAATGCTCCTGATAACAAAAGGTGTGGTTTGTGGTAAGACAACGTATTTCATTAAATTATTGGAATGTAGTTTGTGGAGAGGATAGGAGCATAAATCTTTCAGAGGCTCAGACTGTTCTTTATGGTTTTTCTGATCTTGTTTGTGTTTTCCATCTATATTGTGCGGTCTAAGAAAATAGATTATTTCTCCCATTAAACTCGCTTGCTTTTGGTGTTCTCTGCATCAGTGGATGAATATACCCTGTCTCGCTGCATCTGTGAATCGCTGTACCCTTAGTAGGGGTAGATCTTGGGTATTTGGGCTGGAATGGAGTCCTGTGGGTTCATCTTACAAGGCATGCGTGGATGTCCCATCTGTCTTCCTCACTTGTGTCACTGTAGGTATGTGTTACCGTGGGGTTGCACTGGAGGCTAGCTGTGGTATTGCGGTAACTCTTCTTCTCAAGACCTGGTGAACAATAGCGTGAAGCCTCTGCCAGTTTCCTTGCAGAATGTGACAGTGCTGTCCCCTTGTTATTTTATGTATAGTGCTGTTGGCTACTGTCTGCATGCTTATTGTTATGTCTATTGTGCAGTGGCAGAACTGTGCAGCAGCTCTGCTTCCTGTCATTCTGTGGCCAGCAAAGCTGATTAAATGTGAAGCGCTGGAGTGCGTCCTAAAGGCAGCTATTTTATGGCTTGTCATTATGGAAATTCTAAAAACAAAGTAATCTAATAACCATACTGGGATTGTTTAGATCAAAAGTTTTTTTGGAGAATCTGGAATAGATGTTATATATTCATGTGATAGAGAATACAGTTTTGTAGATGTCATATCAGTTGTGAAGACTGTTGTATTTGCAAGTGCAGGTAAACTAGGTTTGTGGATCAGATAGTCTCCTTCAACATCCTCTCCCTCATGGACATCAGGGAGTATTTATGGTGAACCTTTCTTTGGGCTAATTGGCCTCCAGAACTTTGCTAGAAGCAATGTTGATTACATCTGACAGAGTGTGGAGCACAATTATCTTTTCATGTTGAGGAAGAAAAAGATTTGTACGGTAGAGACCAAACTTACTCTGCACCTCACTTTTTGTTGTGACTCTCTGGTTGGGAGATGTTACTGCAGTAGTCGTCGTTGGGATGTATCTTAATCCTAATAAAGATCAGGCCAGTGTCTGTTCTTAATTCTGCCACCATGTTTTTGACGTTACTTTCTGGACTCTTTACTGTGCTGCCAGGCATATACCTTAATGTACATTTTTATTTTTTGTATTTCTAAATTAATGGCTTTCACATCATGTCCTCCTTTAACTCGATAACACATATTCTGTTACATTAGTGCATTCATGTGTTGTATACCTATATTGTCTGTCTGAACTTCTGTAAGGATTTTCATACAGTCCCCTACAACATCCTTCTCTCTAAATTGGAGTGATACAGATTTGATGGGTGGACTGTTCAGTGGATTGGGAATTGGTTGGACGGTCGCATCCACAGGGTAGTGGTCTATGTCTCAATGTTCAGATGGAGATCGGTGACAAGTGGTGTTCCTCAGGGGTCCATATTGGGACCAATGCTGTTTAATATCTTCATCAATGACATAGTGTGATTGAGTGCAACCTGAGGAAGTTTGCGGATGACACCAAGCTGAGTGGTGTGGTTGACATGCCTGAAGGACAGGATGTCATCCAGAGGCACCTGGCAAGCTTGAGAAGGGCCCATGAGAATCTCATGAGATTCAGCAAGGCCAAGTGCAGGGTCCTGCACCTGGGTCAGGGCAACCCCCCAGTATCAGCACAGGCTGGGAATGGAGGGATAGAGATGAGACCTGCTGAGAAGGACTTGTGATTAGCAGCATGGCCAGCTCCCACACGAGGGAGGTGATTCTGCCCCTCTTCTCTGCCCTGGTAAGACCCCACATGGACTGCTGCATCCAGCTCTGGAGTCCTCAGCGCAGGAGAGACATGGACCTGTTGGAGTGGGGCCAAAGGAGGCCACGGAGATGCTGCAAGGGCTGGAGCCCCTCTGCTGTGAGGACAGGCTGAGAGAGTTGGGGAGGTTCAGCCTGGAGAAGAGAAGGCTCTGGGGAGACCTTAGAGCCCCTTCCAGTACTTTAAGGGGGTTTATAAGAAAGACAGGGACTACCTTTTTAGCAGGGCCTGTTGTAATAGGACAAGGGGTAATGGTTTTAAGCTAAAATAGGGTAGATTTAGACTAGATAGAAGGGAGAAATCTTTTACACTGTGAGGGTAAAAGAGGGTGGTGAGACACTGGCCTAGATTGTCCAGAGAAACTGTGGCTGCCCCATCCCTGGAGCTGTTCAAGGCCAGGTTAGATGGGGCTCTCAGCAACCTGGTCTAGTTGAAGATGTCCCTTCCCACTGCAGGGTGTTGGACTAGATGGCCTTTAAAGCTCCCTTCCAACCCAACCCGTTCTGTGATTTTTTTTTTTTTTTATATTATGTTATATGATTTGATTTTGAATACTCTTTTCATATTTTATTTTTAAAGTTTTTTTTGTTAGCTACTGACTTTGTAATCTCTGCAGCATTAATATACTCAGATCTCAGCATATTTTTGCTGATAGAGTTTGGCTTTCACTGAGCTGAAATATCACCAAAGTAAGGAATAGGCTTAGTTTGTGTGTAGGCAGATAGTTCTAAAAGGCCTTCGTAACTCCCTGGGTTTATCATGCAGGTAATTCACGAGATGGCATTTTCCACTAGTTTCATGCATTTTGAGGTTAGTTTTGCCACAAGGCAGAAAGTAGTTCAGTTTTATAAACGTCAGCTTGCTTTTTCTCCTGCTTTGTGGAGATAGTGCATAACTGATGAAAGTATCTAAAAATTAGCCAGGAGGAGATGGCTCCATTTAAAGTCTGGTAGGCCAGATGTTCTTTGTGGTGACTTTCTAATTTGTCTTGTGTTTGGGGTTGTTCAAATGCCAGACATGCAAAACGGCGACCTGGGTTTCCCAAGACTTCAAAAGATTTATTCTGCTAGTGACTGTTGTTGGACTTTTTTTTTTTTTTTTAATGCACTCCTTGAATTGTCATCTTACATATGTTTCTTCATTTGATCAAAGACTGAATTTCGGAGCTCAGTGACAGCAAAATCTCTCTTGACTGCTGTTTCCATAACATTCTGCCACCAGTAATGATAGTGACAAGTGTTCATTGATTGGAATTGCTTTTACAGTGGTTTCTAAGGCAACTTGTACACCTAGCCACTAAAAAGAATTCTGTAGAACAAAAGTAGCACACAAAGAAAATGCTAACATTACCATGATTACCTGATTTTTCTGTGAAAGTAAAAAAAACAAACCTCACAATGCTTTAGAATATATTGCAAATGAGGAATTCCATTTATTCCATGAAGCATCTGCCAAATTTCTTGTGTATGTCAAAATGCAGGAATTCTAAAAGTTACATTAGACACGTTATTACTTCTTAGGTTTTATCTGAACTTTCCAAATTCTCTCCAAAGTGTATGAAGAGGCAAAGCATCACTTTCAACCCATACAAAAATAAACTTAGTAACTCTTGGTTCCATGTGGAAGGGAAAATAAAATCTGATGTCTTTATTTTTGTCTGTATAGATGCTAATCCTGAAATAGTCTTATGTTACTTGGTCTTAATAACTGCAGAGAAAAACTTGTTAGCCAGATTTATATGTGTTTCCTTCTGAAAGAAAAGATGAGAACTCGTGAGTAATAGCTTCAAAATTTTTCTTTCCTGCAAGCCATGCTGTAGTAAAGTTTGGAGTTTATTTTTATGCTTCCCTTCAGATGATGGAAGGATGGACAAAGATGATGCATTTGCAGTCAAATGTAGAACATACATGATCTCCTTGTAAATGACACATATAGGAGTAGGGTGAAAAGAGACTTTCCAAATAAACTTTAAATGAGCATGTCAATTACTGCTACAAAACCACATGAAGTAGAAGTAACAGAAGTTATTGTAGATGTGCAGCTTGCAGGTACATTCAATCATTTCACTCCTGTGGGCCATATTCTCCGTATCGCAGGCTTAGAGGAGCACTCGGTGTTGTAACACTGTGGTATTGCAAGGCAAGGTTCACCCAAGGTCCAGCAGCAGTGGTGGTAGGTATGTCCTACGTCCAATATGAAAGCATTGGACATGAGGTCCTGGTGGTGTGTCATTGCTTAAGATTTGAACCTATTTCTGTATGCTCAGACTTCCTGACTTAAGAACAGTTTATTCTGTTGGTTTCCATATATATTTAATATTGTTTCATCTTTGTCCAGTTTATAAGGCTCTGAAAATTCTCAGTGTCACAAATGTGAAAAGATAGAGATGTATTGCTGCAAACTTTGAAAATTCCATTTTTGGGGTGTGCTTTTTTCAGGTAGCAATCCCATATAGCCTTACTCACTGGAACTGACTCTTGCTGTGGCTCATCTGTTATTTATGTATCTCTAAATTTTTAATACTATTTCTTTTCTCATGGGGAAAAAGGAGGAGTTGTTATTTTCAATTAGGGTACAAGCTGTTTGAATTTCAGGCTTTAACATTTATTTTTTTGATAACAAGTATGGTAAGGCTCTGAAATACTTAGTTTACAAACAACACATTTCCTTATGCTTTTGAATTAAAGTAATTTAGTTTCATTTTGTGTGTAGGCTAAAAAAAGACTAGGAAAAAAACAGTTGCAACATAATAAGAGTGACCATAATAAGTGCAGTTGTCCTATTCAAGACATTAAGTTTACTGTGGGTTTTTCTTCCTTTAGATGAAATGCAGATTTCAAACGTGGTTATAAGCCACCACCTGCTTTGGAACTGAACACATCATGAGTAAATATTTAATTTAATAATAGCTTTTGCTTCCAGTTAGCACACAGAATCACAGAATGATACGGGGTTGGAAAGGACCTCTGGAGATGTTTCTTTTTCTTTGGGGGTAATATGAAAGCCAGACTGCAATGACTACAATGAACAAAGAGTGTTCCCTGCAGCAATGAGTTCATGCACTGCGAAACTTGTTCAGCAGAAATGATATTTGTTAATGACAGGGTGTAGCATTGCAGGAAATCTGAGGCTGGTTGACTTGTGTACACTGATGAAGCGTTTCTATTCCAGCTCTGTCTCTGAAGATTTGGGTTGCAGACGCGGAGAGTTTAGCAGAAAGCATTATGGATCAGTGGAGCTTGTAAGTTTACATAGCCTGTTCTTTGATTTTAGCAGCATTACAATGCAGAGCTCAAGTCCTTTTTGTTTCCAGGTAAAAAATTGTCTCTTGTTTGGAAAATGTGCTTTCTAAGCTGGACTTTAAAGTTACAGGCTAATAAACAGAGACTTCAGAATAAATGTACTAGACCTGTGCTATGAAATCTTTTTACTACCTTATTTATGAATACTTCATCATAATGGCTCAGGAAGCATTATATAGATATCGTGTTTACCTCAGGTAGAAATTGAGCCTTTTTTCCTCTCTTAAGCTGAAAATAGCAAAATATTAGAGTAGTATTTGATGAAGTGCTTGCAATTATGTTAATTAAAAACTGTGTGCGTGCTCGTATGTGTACATATATATGTGTGTACGTGAATTTGTGTACATGCCTCAGAGTAGTGGGAAAGGGTTTAAAATTAAAAGAACTAGTCAAAATAAGGATATTGAACACCGTTATCTGAAATCTGACAGTTATTCTGCATTTTCTTTGAATTAAAATATTAAGTTGGCACTTTATTTTTCTCATATATAAATGTCTTCTCTGCTCTGAAAATAGCAGTCTGTCAGCAGTTAAAATAATGTCACTGTGTACAAGGCCGTAATGAAATTACATAAACTTACTGTAGGAAAACAGAAGTGAGGAGGGATAAAGAAACTAACTCCAGCTCTCTTACTGTGGGAAGAAGTTACTCAGTTTCTATGAGCAATAGTTGTAGTTTAAAGTCCTTGGATACTATATTTTTTTTTATATGTATGTAAATTGGGTGTAAATTGGTGGCTTAGTTGCTGGAACTTGCATTGCAAGAACACTAGGTATCTTTCTTTTCTTTCCATACATTGCATATATTAGATGCGGTGTTTTAAACAAAAAAGCAAGTGAGTTGCTTTCTGTTTAGAGACTCTTTCATTACTAGTACTTAAATTTTTCTTTTCTGGCAAAGGAATCTATCAGTGATTCTAAGGTCACAGTAAGCTCATGCAAATAGTCTTGTCTTTTGATTGGTTTTCTTAAAATTCTGCTAGTATTTTATGGAAGTGTGTCTTTTTATCTTTTGGAATACGAATATATAAAGGTGCTTGTTGCCCTTTCAAATATCTAAATGTTTAATATTGAACCTTTCTTGCTTAGTATTTTCCTCAGCAGCATCTCAATTGCTCAATTATTTCCACCTTTTATTTATTACAACACAATTATTTTTGTCTCTGCGCTAAACACTTTTTCCTTTATCTTTCCCACTGGTGTAATATGACTAGTTGTCCATATAATTTCTCTTACAGTTTATACAAGGCACCAGGATGTGTTGGAGTTTTTGCCATGTTAGTTTATTCCTGACATAGCCTCAGAACACTTCAAAGCAAAGAGCAAAGAGAACTTCAAAATGTTGCCATAACTGTTCCAACCAAGTAAAGGGAGAAAGTATTATCCTAGAATAACATGGATTGCTAGAGGGAGGCAAGGAATGATACACCATGACATTGTTCAGATCCCATTTCTTAAGTTTGGTATGGTATGTGACAATCTCATTTTTACAGTATTGAGAGGAATAACGTGCAATATGATCGGCAGCATTCTTTTCCTCTTCTCTTGTAGGGATCCTAAGCAGTGTTGCAGAACTTATATGAACTGTCATATTATCCTATGTTTTACTGACTTCTCAAGAGCTTTTTTAACAACAAACAGAGTTTCAGTGTTTTGGTAGTCCCTGGATTCCCTTATAAAAAGACCAGGCAGTCTTTCCAGAGTGTTTATGAAACTTTTCAAGTCTTCAGCTGGAAAGAAGCTGTATTTTCTGATGTCGGCTGGAAGCCGACCAGGACATCTCTTGTACCTTATGTTCATTATCATCATTGAGTACTATATTTGGAGATTCTTGCTGCACTCTGTCTCCTGAAAACATCAGTAAATAAAATGCAGTAAAAGACTGCTAGTCTCACTAATACTGCAAACAAGTAGAGTTTTAGGCTTACCAAAGCTGAAAGGACAAGAATCATCACATCTATAAGATGTTTTGAAAAGGGCAAGCTTCAAGATCAGTTTCTGGAAAGTGGGCAAGTCCTGGAGGTGTTCTGTGTGTTTGTGCAGCCAAATCCTGAGACAGGAGAATTTCTGATTAGTACCGAAAACGCGACTGGCTCTCCTGCTCGTGCCTCCTTAGAGTTAAATTGGGTCTTTCCAAACCTCTAGTCAAATTAGTAGTAGCTGTGCTGATCTGTTCTTTCTGGGTAGCCATATGATACTTGGGAGATGAAGAAACCATGCCCAGCTTTGATTGCTGATCATATGGATATTTTTGGAACTACAATCTCTATCTTAAACTCTCTTGTAGCTTATATCTAGTGATGCTGATGGAGCCATTCAAAGAGCTGGACGCTTCCGTGTGGAAAACGGCTCCTCTGGTGAGGTAAGTGGCTAAAAATACTCACAGAAAGCTGAAAAAATAAATCGGCTTCAGTTATTCTCCACCACTGAAAGATGTATTTGCAGTCAATTACTAAGGAAGAGGATTTGAAAAATGCTAAATAAATATGAGAATGTAAGAATCTAAGAGGAGGGAGATGGTGGTTTTTTCCTCCCAAAGTCTGGCTTAGCTCTTCTTTCAAGAGTATGCAATCTTGACAATTTAATTTTTTAAGGGAGAAGCTGGTATTTAATTTTGGTAGCGTTTTGCTCATCTGATCATGGTAGAAGAAAAATGCCTCTCTTATAGTCTGAATAACACTGCACAGTCTCTAGTTCATCACTTTATATTGGTGTCCTGGTGATACTAGGATGTTGAAGCTGACCTTTGTGCTTTTAAGTTCATTTCTTGGAGTGATGAGGTTATAGCTTCATTTTTTTCACCCTTAGTTCTGTCTTTTGGCAGCTAAGCCTATTTTTAAATACAAGAGAAAGAAGCTGAGTGGAGTCTGAAAGAGCCATTCCCTCTAGATTCCTGTGCTGTTAAACTCGTCATGTGTCCCTGCAACCACTCCAGTGACCCTTAGGCTTCTACTTATCTTCACTTTAGATCTTCTTTTGCAAAACTTTTTCAGCTGTAAATATCATCTTAATATTGAAAGGAAGAATACCTCATATTCTTGAAATGCACGTAGGGTCCTGGTAAGCTTGCATTGAACTAATATTAACAGTAAACTGTTAGTGATCATGTGAACTTGGCCCTACAGAGACTTGATGCAGAATAGTTAGATTGCTTTAAATTCTGCATCCAGTGCTGATGCAGTTCAAAAGCTGATTAGCTTGTATCACAGGAAGATTTTCTGAGTGGGTGATGAATGGCCATATGACGAATGGATATGGAGAATGGCTTTTTCTCTCCGTGTTAATTCTTAGTGGAAAAGGACTTGAGGGATGTTTGGAAATTTACCTTAACCAGCCAATGCAGAAACGATACTGAAGAACTTCAAGAGCATGCTCTGGTCTAGTGAGGAGTCCCTTAGGATTATTTTGGGAAGAACTGAGAAAATGAAACCTGGAGGCAAAATTCTGTTTGTTAATTTATTTTTAAGTTTTAAAACCACTAGTCTCCAAATCCCATATTGAAATACCCTCTTTTCAGTGGAATTAAGCTATTACCCGTAATGGTGGTACAATAGGAAAAGACTGAGAAAAAAGGAAAGAAAAAAAAAAGAGGAGGAGAGGGAGAAATTTTAGTTTCAGCTGCACAACTGACTTCAAAATAATTCTTTGCTTTTTAAAAAGCAGTATACAGCTAAAACTCTTCTCGTGAATCAGACACTCTTGTTTGGCTTTTGCCTATAGTGTGTTCTCCTTTTTTTCACTTGGCATTTGATCTAACAGTCTTCCAATTCTATTTCAGAATACAGACTGCACCCCAGGAACATGGCACAGAACAGATGTGCATTTGGAAAACCCAGAGTATCATACAAGATGGTATTTCAAATATTTTTTAGGCAAAGGTAATTATCTTCTTGCTAACAGATTGAAGTTTTGATCAACGGAAATGCAATGTGGCTTTGAATTGCTATATATTTAAATATGGTATGGTATTAATTTAGTATTAATATGTTTTCTGTCCTGTACAGAAAACAAGTTTTTGTTTCATGTATTTTTAACCTAAAGACAGAGGTTGGGTTTCTATAAGCAGTGGAACCCTTGCTACCGAAAAGGGGTATTTTGAAACCCTTCTTGGTCTTGAAGGCTGTACCTATCTCTTTTTTTTTTTTTTTTTTTTTTTTTACACCTCTCTATATAAGTACATAGTTATTTATGTAGATAAGTATATATTTTTACATATGAATGCATGTATTTATACACGTCTCTGTGCATGCGTGTGTGTCTCTCTGTGTGTGTGCAAGCAGGTATGTGTGTCATCTTTACAGTTGATAATGCTTCTTGTTTTTTCCTTAACAGTTCATCAAAATTATATAGGTACAGATGCAGAGAAGAACCCTTTCTTTCTGTCTGTTGTACTGTCTGACCAAAATAATCAGCGTGTTCCTCAATACCATTCAATACTTTGGAGAAAAACAGTAAGAAACAAATATTTAACTGCTTCTGTGACTTTTCCTTTGTTTGTTTTGGTTATGTTTATCATACACTTTTTTGCTTTCTTCAAAATTTTGGTATTTAATACTTACTTTTCATTTTATACAATAAGAACATTTAATTCTACCATAGTAGATAAAACTAAATTAGCTTTGTAGATAACATTATACTAAGCTTTCTGACAGAAGTCTATGATGACAGATATTTTTAAATTGTTCTTATCTGCAACTCTGTGTTATTTTTAGAAACATTGCCTAAAATGTTCTTGATTGTGTCCTGCCATAAATTTAGGCAATGACTTTATACTGCTTTTAGGATTTTCTTATACAACCTTAAGAAAATAGGCAGGTATGATATGGGTTCACTGGTATTGTTTAATGAATTTTTTTTTTCACTTAACATTACATAGGAGCATTTTGTGCAAGCAATTGATTTAAAACGTCCCTGTATGCATGCATGGTTCACTTTTTATAAAATTTTTTTAAGAAACAGTTTGGATATCTGTTAATTTCAGCAGCCCTTATATAATATGCCAAGGTAGTCAAAACTCAGTAAAAAATAAATTTGCACCACCCATGATTTTTCACATTTAGTTTTTCTTTTTTTTTTTTTTTCCCCCCAAAGCAGTAGTAAATATGGCTAAGTAAAACTAGCACAGTTTTGTTCTTTGGGTTTTTTTACTGAATTGTTTTTATTAATACTCCTATTTGAATATATGGAAAAAGTCAGTATATCCTGTAATATCTCCTAGCTTTTTTTTTTATAGGGTACTCAGAAAATATGTCTCCCTTATAGTCCCACAAAAACCTTATCAGTAAAATCTATATTAAGGTATGTATTTACAAATAAATTGTTACTGAGATATTTGTCCATATGCCTTTTCCTGTAATTCAGAGCTTGTGTTGCATGGTTTTCATGAAAGAGTTATAAAAGCAGTAAAAACAGATTAACAAATCTTAGTCACTGAAGGCAACAAAAAGTGCTTTTAAAGTGTGTTCCGAAATAGCAAAGTGACAACTTAAAATGGGGAAACATTCTTAGCACTTTTTCTTTAGCAGAGGGACCATTTTCAAGTTTATTGGAAAACAGATGCTAAGTGGAACTACAGTGGTTAAGGAAAAATATATTTTAAAATTAGACAGAAAATAAACAGACCTAAGAAACAGCAAATTTGGCTAGAAAGGTGGTTATTATATGGCCCTAGCAGGAGGAACCAAAGAGGGAAGAAACCAAGAATTATTTCTTCAGTTGAGTGTCTTCATATAAGTCTCACTATCAGTGTGTTATACATGCTGTCAGTGAAGCCAAGAAAATTCCTTTCCCCAGCCAGAGTCTGTATGGGCGTGCTTATACTCTGTCCTACTTCTTTTGTGGCAGAAGAGAATATCAAGCAAGCAAGCAAGCCAGCCCAACACCTTTTCTATTTCTTTCAACATTATAATCAGCTGAAATATCAGACCACCTGTTTGCAAAGTGTTCGTTCAAGTTTAATCTGCAGTTTTTATGACCTAGTCACGTGGTATGTTTTCTCAAATCCCTCACTGATAGCATCTTCAAATGCATCTTCTGTAAGGATTTTACCTCCTCACGAAACCCTTCATTACCCTCATGAAACCCTGAAGTGCCTTCATTTAGTGAACAGGTACACAAATGGGCAGTCTGCAGGTCTTTGAAGCCTTTGATCTCTATAGAGTACAAGCAAATGTCTTTTGGTGGTTAAAGCTGGTCCACGGGACAACACTGCCAGTGTTGATGTGAGAGGAGAACAGTGCATGTGGTGTAAAGTGAAGTCAGTACCACCAGATCTGGGTTTTCCTACAACTCCACAAGATTTCTGAGAGGTCCCAGACGACTGAATTTGCCAGGGAGGCTGGCAGACCATTGAGCCTCACTTCTTAATTCTGATTTCCTGGGCTGCGGCTCTGATTTGGAGTGGTAATCACAGAATCATCTAGGTTGGAAGGGACCTTCAAGATCATCTAGTCCAACCATCAAACCAACTCTGACAAAAAAGCCATCACTAAACCATGTCCCCCAGCACCATGTCAACCTGTCTTTTGAACACCTTCAGGGACCATGCCTCAACCACTTCACTGGGCAGCCTATTCCAATGCTTAATAACCCTTTCAGTGTAAAAATTTTTCCTAATATCCATCCTGAATATCCTCCCCTGGTGCAACTTGAGACCTTTTCCTCTAGTCCTGTCACCTGTGACTTGGGAGAAGAGCCCGACCCCCGCCTCTCTACAACCTCCGTTCAGGTAGTTGTAGAGAGCAATAAGGTCTCCCCTCAGCCTCCTTTTCTCCAGGCTGAACAACCCCTGCTTCCTTAGCCTCTCCTCATAAGACTTGTGCTCCAGACCCCTCACCAGCTTCATTGCCCTTCTCTGGACCCGCTCCAGCACCTCCATGTCTTTTTTGTGGTGAGGGGCCCAAAACTGGACACAGTCCTCAAGGTGGGGCCTCACCAGTGCCGAGTACAGGGGGACGATCACCTCTTGAGTCCTACTCACCACGCTGTTCCTGATACAGGCCAAGCTACTGTTGGCCTTCTTGGCCACCTGGACACATTGCTGGCTCACGTTCAGCTGACAGTCGACCGTCACCCCCAGGTCCTTTTCTGCCAGGCAGCTCCAGCCACTCTGCCCCAAGCCTGTAGCGCTGCAGGGGGTTGGTGTGACGCGGGACCCAGCACTTGGCCTTCTTGAACTTCATCCCATTGGTCTCAGCCCATCGATCCAGCCTGTCCAGATCCCTCTGCAAGGCCTTTCTACCCTCCAGCAGGTCGACACTCCCACCAAACTTGGTGGTGTCTGTGAACTGACTGAGGGTGCACTCGATCCCCTCGTCCAGATCATCGATAAAGATGTTAACGAGAGCTGGCCCCAGTACCGAGCCCTGGGGGACACCACTCGTGACCAGCCTCCAACTGGATTTAACTCCATTCACCACCACTCTCTGGGCCCGGCCGTCCAGCCAGTTTTTAACCCAGTGGAGACTACTCCCATCTAAGCCATGGGCAGCCAGTTTCTCCAGGAGGAAACTGTGGGAGACTGTATCAAAGGCCTTGCTAAAGTCCAGGTAAACAACATGCACAGCCTTTCCCTCATTCACTAAGTGGGTTACTTTATCATAGAAGGAGATAAGGTTTGTCAAGCAGGACCTGCCCCTCATGAGGGCTGGCTGGGCCTGATCACCTGGGTGTCCTTCATGTATTGCGTAAGATGGTGAGTTGGAAACACTTAAGATCTCTTTCATCTTCTTGATCAAGATGAGCTAAGTCCCCTCTTCTAACTCCTACAGCAATGGCTTGACTAATGTTTTAGTTGTCAGAACCGCACGCTATACCTGCAGAAGCACCAGATCTTATGTGTCTGCCCACCAATCAGTGACATATATCTTCCTAACATCCCTTTCTAACCTAGTGTCTCTTTCATTCTCGCTCATGTACGCATTTTTGGTTGGGCATCCCACGGTGTAGAAACATTGTCTTCTGTTAGCTAGTTGTAACTCTTCTGCTGGAACACCCTCGCATGTCCCATCCTGTGATGCTCCAGTATTTTACAGAGGAAAATGCAGGCTTATTTCAGGCCTCGTTCCCCATTTTTCCTAGAGTCTGTGCCACTTGCCATCAGCTGGATAAATGCCGTCTCCTCTTGCGCACTTGGGCTTGGACTAAAATCCCTTCCCTGACTATTCTTTTGCTTTTACTTTTGCTTCCCTCAGGCCTGATCGATATTCCTTGGACGTATCACCCTCTTTACAGCCAGTGTGAATCTAGGTACAGACGGTCTCAAAGAATTTTGGTTACATTAATAAAACTGTGTTTTCTAAATTAATTGGAACATTTTAATCCCTTTCAAAAGTAACTAAAGCAAATGCCATCTGCATCGTGATCTAGCATGAAGAGTGATGGAAAGGTGCATCAGTTTTCACTCTTGGTAGTTCAATGTGCCCCAGTCAGACTGCATTTGACATTCTGTGACATGATGTGCAGTTCTATAAATTCAGGTTGGGGGGGAAAAAAATGGGCAAAAATAATAGTAAAAGCAAGTTAGTAAAAAATGATATAAATCAGTATTTCTGTTTATTGAGGCAGTTGATCTTGCTTCTTATTTAAGTATTTCTGTTTCTGGGTCTTTGGTGCGTGAATTTGATGCTGAACTTGTTGTTTTTCATTTGACTTGCCTTCAGTTATTTTAAGAGAGAGACAAGAAAAGCTTACAAAATAGAATAGGTTATTGAGTGCAAAAAATGCTTGCAATGGTTATGTATAAAACCGAAGTGAAGGGTGATGGAATAAAGCTCTGCGCTTTATAAGTAAATGCAGTAAGTTTAAACCTGATCTCCATGTAGGATCTTCTGTTTTTAAAATCCAAAAGAAGTTTAGGAAGTCTTGGAGGTTAGCACTGTGGGATAGAAATGGCTATTCCACAAAACATTCTGTGTCAGAGATCCTCTTTGAACAATTCCTTTTGGAACCAGTTCTACTGTAACCAGTTAGTGGTTTAGTGTTGAAACACATACTTGCCCTTCTATAAAGCAGTATTTCATTTGCATTTCAGTGCTATGAGTCTTGACAAATTTGAGAAGAGCCCAAGGGAAATTTTTCATCCTGAGATACAAAAGGTAGGATGTGTCTTCTTTTTTTGTTTGATTGTTTTTCTTTATTATTTTCTGGGAAAATAAGTCATTAAGTATAAACGCTATTAGTTTGCTTCTTTCAGTAGCAGGATAATAATGATGGGTAGGGTTTCATGATACTGCAAGGTAAAGTGTCTTTGTCAGTTGAACTGGCCACTTCAAAATGAAACTTTATACAATGATGTTACAGTTTTGTTTGTGTTATCTTTAATACCAGTGTGCTAAAGATACTGTTTTGTTTACAGGATTTATTGGTTCTTGAAGAGCAAGAGGTAAATGTAAACTTACCACTCCTAGCTCACAGACCTGTTCAATGAATACAGCCTTGTATTTGAAATATTTGCACTGACATGCTTGTGACAACTTTAAAATCAATTGCTTATTGCAGTAAAAAAATGTAGTATTTCTTTGCAACATATGAGGTCAAAAATAATTTTAAGCACCAGCTTAATATATCATATTAATAGATCACCAACTTAGTATGTAATAAAATTCATAATCTGTGATTAAATGTAAATTATTAGGTATCTGCTACTTAAGCATGTAGTGGAGTTGGTTTGAAATACGTACTCCCACGTGTAGGATGTGTACAAAGGTATGTCTATGAAAGTCCTTAGAGAAAATGTTATATTAGGTCTTTTGTTTGATTACTTTATCATATAACATTTAGTCTTATTTCTCAGGGATCTGTGAATTTTAAATTTGGAGTCCTCTATGCTAAGGATGGCCAGCTTACAGATGATGAAATGTTCAGCAATGGTAAGTTTTTCACCTTCTTCTTAATTGTTTTATACATCTAAATTAAAAAAAAAAGCATAGGATAGTGCCACATGGAAGCCAGAAGGAGAGTGATGGTTATGCAAACAGTAGTTTTGGTAGGTTTTCGTGTTTGTGTTGGGGGGGGGAATTGTAGCATAGAATCTTCTATTACTATTAAAGGTTGCTGTAGGAAACCTGTTATTACAACTTGCAATACATTGAAATTCTTTTCTAGAAATAGACTATACAACCTAAGATTTAGAAAAAGGAAGCAGTTGAAGGATGCGATTCATGTTACCTGCAAAAAGTCACTGTTGTTTCTAGTTCTTCCATTCTTACATTTTTGTAGCATGATCACGTTCTTCTATGGGCTTTAATAGTCTCTTGAAATTAGCAAAGTAGATCAGTTTATTGTCACATGATGATGCATAGTCTGCAAGGCTGGGATGCTGTTTCTGTAAAGGTAGAAGGCTTGGATGACACGAGGAGAAACTAATTCAGCTGAAACTTTGGTCCTCATGTTCTGGGAGCAGGACCTATTCCTATATTTTGATTATTTTTTTATAGGTGTTCTATTACTACATGTGCTTTTCTGTTGTAATGCTTCTCCCTTCCACATGTAGAAATCGGAAGTGAAAGCTTTCAAAGATTTTTGCATCTCTTGGGTGACACAGTTACTTTGAAAGGCTGGACAGGCTACAGAGGAGGATTGGACACTAAAAGTAAGAACTCATCTGAAGAAAAAAAAGTAGAGGGGCTGCAATATAAATGTTTTGCTTATTGCATGTGAATATCGTATATATTGTAGAAATAATACAATCCCAAAAAAGACTTCCTTGTGCATGCTAAGTGCTCTGCTTCACCAGGGAAAAGTCAGGTTAGCTTAAATCACTGCTACGGAATGCAATTGAAGAAAAGTATTTATATTACCTGTATTTTCAAGGTGAATGGTTTCATTTTATATTGGAGTGGGGTGAAGAATAATCTGATGTTACTTGCTTCATGATAGTAAGGCATCATGGCTTGAAGAACTGTGTGTGATTTCAGGAGGCTGGCTGAAGGACTTCTTAGGTTTTAAGTGTCTGAATACGTAGATGAGGTTGCAGACTTGGGTTTGGATCCACGTAAAACTTGCAGCATGGACATTTTCTATAATAAATCGGAAAAAAAGGATGACTTTTAAAGAAGGTTTGGTAGAAGAACCTGAAATACCTTTGATCTTTAGAAAGCTTAAAGGATATATTCCTGCTAATGATGTTGTATTCCCTTGCAGATGATACAACAGGAACGTGTTCTATCTATACAGTTTTTCAAGGGCATGAAATTATGTTCCATGTTTCAACCATGCTTCCATATTCTAGAGAAAACAAGCAGCAGGTACATGGTTCTCTCTCTTGTTTGGTTGTTGGTGCTTGTTGCTTTCCCCCCCCCCCCCCCCCC